AAATGTCCTGTTTGTTTAAAAAAGGGGATTAAGCTTTAGCGGTATGAGCAGATACTCCAGGGTTCGTGTGCCATTTTCATTTTCCCGGAGTTCCTGCCCCTCCTAGTCTTATTTCTTGAGGGTACCCCCGTATATTGCGATAGCGTCCCAAAGAAGTTCTAATACATTCTTGTTTTGTTGTAAATCAAAGCGCAGTGACGTTGTATTACTAACTTATAAAGCCTAAGTAAATTGGTTTTGGCTATTTGTTTTCGTTGTTGCTTCTACAGAACGAATAGGTTGGCCAAAACAGGCGTGGCCAATGAACGGCTGGCGGGGATTTGCGAGCGCTATTAGGTTGAGCTGTCATTATGCATATCCTCAAATATGCATCCCACGCTAGAAGCTATAGAATAAGAAGCTGTTGATTTGATTTACAACTGGCAAAAACAAAAACAACCTTAAGCAAAGTTTTGAGCGGACTTCGTTGCCCCTACGTTCAGGGATTGTGACTTTAGCCCTTTATGAACAAGGATAGGAGTTAGTTCAACATAAGATCGCTTCCTGCTCAGCGCATGGTTGTCCCTGAACTGTGGACTTCCTATTATGAAGATCGTGGTGTGGTCATCTGATACAAGGACTTCTCTTCACACTTACCACTCTTCTGGTGACCCTACCATGGAGGAGAAGTCCAGGGCTTCCGAGATCCAGCCCGTACTACTGCTTTTTCCTACAAGTTTTCAGTGGTGAAAAGTGAAGTACCGTATCCGAATTAGCATATTCCCAACACACAGCAGCAATCAAAGAAGGATTATCATCAACTAGACGCACTCAGCCTCGGCGGCCCTCGGACCAAGAATTCAATTAAGCACTAATAATGCTACAGTAATCCGGCACTCGGCAAACAACCAACCATATTGCGGCTGCATTTTACTCACTTCGAACGTTGTCAACGGTTTCCTGAGCTCATTTCTTTCAATCATAATTCCTTTTTTTTCTTTATGGTCAACTTGGCCAAGGGTATTCAGGAGAGATACCTATCGTACTTTGAGACAAACTTCTCCTGACTTTAAGCGTGTCCTCTAGGGTGCGGCCACATCCAGTCCTTCTCCCTGAATGGGTTTCAGCTGCATCAGTCTCCGTAGGAATTTAGGGTCGTTTAGAGAATTCAGGGATTACGGACAGGGGTTATAGTCAGATCCATGAGATTGCAACTTGTTCAGCGTCCCTCAGATGATTCACACTGGTCCTTATCCCTGCAACATTTCATAATCTGCTGATATTCTTCAGAATCTTCCGTCTTCTTTTCAGTAGACCCCGCAAATTAGTCACGGGAATCATAGGCCTTATTAAGGCCTTCTAGCAGAACGCCTCAGTAGGTATTGTAGATACAGCCGCCACAAGTTATCACAAGAATGATAGGATTGTTCAATAATTTCGGCCGCTATGCCGGCATTCCTATCGAATCTCTTGCTATCCGTGCTAATTGTGCTACGCTTCTTCCAAACTGGGGGTACTGTTACCCATACTCAGGTTGCGAATGCAAACTTATAACTTAATCAGATTCACATACAACGTATAATTAGTCAGCATATGGTGTGGGGAATGGGTTACAAATGCCGCGAAGCAATAAAGTCCAGTAGAGTACCGCTGGATCGAAAGTTTGCCCACATTGCGCGACCGTTTAGTAGTTGTAATTGTATGCTTCTGTATCAGCTGGAAGGTTGAATTTTCAATTATTATCAACGGTTTTCGACAGACTTCGCCACGTTTCAAAGCCTTATATCCATCGCGGTTTCAATCGAAACCCGAATCTTTTTGTAGTTGTTCATGATATTTTGACTCAGACAAATCTTGAGCTACTGAAACAGGGCAGAAAACTAGTTTCGCTCGTATCGACTAGAATCAAGCTTTAGATTGCATAAATGCAGGGTGATGCTTGCTGCTATTATTGACGATGAACTGCAGTGGATTGTCTCCGAATACGGTTGCAAATTGTAAGTATGGAAGTCAGACTTCTACAGTAAAGAGTCTATAAAACCCTGTTCTCTTGTGCCTAAAATGGTAACCATCTCGCGAAGGGGTGAGCTTTATTATACAGGGGGGGGGCAAAAAAAGACATTTTGCCCATGTCGCACTTCGGCCCTTTTTTCTTCGCAGAGATTGCCGTCGTTGACGGAAGTTCCTCAGCAAAGTATTCCCTAAATGTCCCTCTATAAGTAACGCAGGCCCTCCTTCACTGCCCTCACCGTCTTCAGAATATGACGTCATCTGTCACCGTCGTCAAGCTCAAGGAGGCCTACCGTAACTGCTTCAGCCTGAAGCTCTTACATAATTTCGTGAATCGATTCAATGTTGGATAGTTTCCTAGAGGCATTAGCTCCCACTATGCAAGCCCTCTTGGAGGTGGTTGGTTTCCTATAACACGTATAGTAGCACCCGTTCCACACCAAAACGCCTAGCGCTGGTGCCACTGGTGCCAACTCCAAACAAGTAAGGTAACGCTGGCGCCTATGCCGCGGGCGTCAAACGCTCTCTCATCAATGAATGAATTGACCGCTTTTTGACGACCGAGAGGGTTTGTGAGAAAAATTCAGACCCAGTCCTGGGAAAGTGGTGCGCAAAGGGTAACTATGTAGTGCTAAAAAAACCTCTCGAAACCTCCAACAACCCCCTTAACCCTCACTGTGTCCTCTGCTCATACCGTTTGAAAAAACAATTGATCTTCACAAGCATCGCCGCCTAAATATTCACGAAATTAAGCAAGCTGAAGGTCAGAGAAGCCATGCTTCTTGTAGTCGCTGTCAGCAAGTTTATGGAGTAACAGGGACTTTCTGAACAATATTCTGTAGTTGTAAAGAGATTCACCGAAATACTACCTAAGTCTTGTATTTCGAATCTGCATTCGCTGAGAGTTTGGTCGGCTGAATGTTTCAGGAGTCTCCAAGGCCACGTTCAAATGTACAGTCGTAAACGGCCAGCGATAAATCCTGAGGTGTTTGCAAAAAGGAAATTAGAGGTACAGAAAGAATTTTCAATTATCCTTCAGAGTATTACTTGCCGATAAAATGATGGGGTTTTATTTTTCTTCGAAAACTTGAAGCATCAAAGTCATGATTCAGCAGCGTTTTTGAACTTTAGGCTACCGACGAGGAGGATTTGGAGGGAGAAGATGAGGCCGAGGGAAGTCAATGCGATTTTCGTCAGACAGCTGGGTTTACGGTAAGAACTACAAAGCATTACGAGTGTATAATCTACACCAAGCACTATTCTTTAATTTGAAATTTTGAAAATTAAGAAAAGTGAGAATTTGAAATAGTGTGTTAATCAGATTTTCACCGAATCACGCAAATTCTCCACTACACATGAAATTATGTTCTACCCTGGAACAATCTGAACCTTTGTGAACACGGACTGAGCTCTGCTGCTTTTGGTGAAATCTCGTGGAGCAAAATTCGATTCGATCATTTCGGTGAAGATCCTCTTTTTGGCACTTAAAGGCAAATCCCGGGATTAAACTGGTGCTATTAGCGCTTCGTGGTGATAGAATAGCTGCGGAGCGACCTGAAAGTAGGAAGGAAAGCAAG